CACAAAAACTCTACATTTGTATAGGCTCAATTGTGTGATTATGAGACTAGAGTTTGGTTCCCACATATTTTTTTTTCAAAAAACTTATTCTTTTCATACAAGCCAATATTTTGTTATCAAAACATAATTTACTCGTAGACAGCACTTGAAGCCTTCTATCAATTGTATGTATATGCGAATTTTTTAGATGTTCATTCTTTCGGTTAGGTATGTTTCTATGTTTTGAAAAATAGAGCGATTTTCATGATTGCAATACCAATCAACAAGTGAGATGATATCGTGATCAGTGACGAGGGTTCGAAACTACTCATATTTCTATTACTCATATGCTAAGTTCTTCTGCTCCATATCAACCGGTCAAAAGTCATCCTATGAAACAACTCATCGAGAAGGATCATTTGCGTTGATTTTACTCGCGCAAGTCTTGTTATATTTTGCCCTATGTAAAATTTTGACGGAAATCATAACTGATTGAACTCTAAGTAAGCATCAACGAAATCTTCGACACATTTTACATACATCAAACAAAATACTAGAGAAAACGGGTCAAATTCTGGTTTTGTATCTGTTACAACTAAGTAGATAACTATCATAAGTTTAGAAGCGAACGTGAGCAAGAATTATGATCATAGCATTATCGAGAACTTAGTACTTCTAATAAAAACCTTAGTTCCTTTCCGATGAGTCCTAATGAAATTTGTATGATTCGATAGAGAATAAAATACAACACTTAGCATAATCGATTTGAGATTCAACACAAATGAAGAAACGAATCCGGATAAGAAAAATATTTTGAACACGCTTCTAGCTTTTCTTATATGAGAAATCTCTTTTCATTTATCGTACAGTGATTATCTGACTTTATTGTCGATAAGCTCATAAATAGAAATGAAGACCAAAATTAGGAATAATTTTTTTAAATAATATTATTTGATTTCTCATGTATACAATAAATATCGGATGAACGATTATTAATCAGGTTATTTATGATAAATTCCATCCGGAAAGATTGCTAATCGAATTCAAACGAACGTTACGGAACACAACCTGTCATGCTTTAATTCTTGTTTATTTATTGTTTCTCTCAAAAAACAAAACTCAAATCAGTAAAAGAATATGAATCTAACAATAGTATATAAATCTAATATCCCAATGGTCGGTTTCCTTGGTAAAAGTATTTCCATTGGCTGCTGTATATTGTATCGTTCCGCTGATGGGATCTCCACTGTTTTCAAAAGTGTTGCTGATATAAGTGTCGATGCAACTATCAAGTCCGATGCCAATTTTGTAGCCGCTTTCGTTACTTGTTTCCTTTTTTTTATTTCAATAAAATTTAAATATAAATGAAAAAAAAATGTTCTTACCGTGCCAGCCGTAATAGTGATGTCACATGATGAACTCCTCTTGAGTTGTCTCAAACAGCCAATTGAGTCACAATTGATTTGCTCGAGTGAGATGCATGTTATCGCAGTATCACCACCGCATTCACTGGCTGAGGGTATTTGTACACCCATCGATGTGACTTGTGCAACAGCTTCATCATGTGTCAGTTTGCAATCGGTCAAGTCGATCACTAACAATTATTAAAAAATACTCATTAGACTTTTAGTTCCGACTCAAAAAGATTTTTCTCTTCTTTTCTATAACAGGCTTCAATTTGTCAAAATCTTCAAAAAGAACTGTTCCATAATAGAGATGAAACTTTATTTGAACTGAGTCTTTCTTATGATTTGATATCGATGTCTAACCTGGATTACTAGCAGTTGTTCCAAGAATCACTATGATAAGAAACAAATTTCGACTCATTGTGTTTATCGAAGAAAATTTATGCAATTGTAAACACATTTTGAATTCTTTTTTTCTACTATGGTTGCTTTCACATTCAAGAGAGATAAGTACATTTGTATAAGCATATTTTGTTGACACTCTTTCTTGCTTGACCATATAACGAAAAAAAAAAGCATTCGTCGTCAATTCATGGCATCTAATCGATGCAAAATGACAGTGTTAAACATACATAGTTACTTGCAGTAAACAAATGGAAAAAAAGAAATATCCAATCATCATTGAGACAGAAGGCCTGATTTTAATCAACTATTCTTCTTTGTGAATTAACTTCAACAAAATTTTCTGGAAATCATTCTAAACATATACAAGTATCTCACTCTGTCCCTACACAGTCAAAATTTTCGCTTGAGAAACTTTTCAATTATGAACCTAAATATTATAACCCTTTGAGCCCCAACAAATCTCAATCAGCTCAATTATTAACACATATGCCTATAGTTGGGTCTAAAGCAAGATGAAAATATTACATCGACACAGTTCCTTCAGTGTTTAGTCGCATGAAATTTAGTTTTTGTGCCATTGTTCTTTGTGTAAAAAATAAATAAATATTGCTTTTTTTGATGTTTGATGTAAAACTTGTATATGTTTTACAATTAATAAATTTTAAAAATTGAAATTTCTAGTCAAATAGAAAAACTCAATAAAATGTATGCTGAGTAAATCATGTACGAGCGCACGAGATTTATTTACGTCTTGTGCTCGTGTCTACAATAAGTTAATCTAACAGTCAACTTAAATTACATGCGGCAGAACTAATTTAGCACTCAAAGAGTTAAACGATTTATAGAAAAATGAACTTGAAATAAAAAGCAACGCCTATGAAGATTGACTGGCTGTGCCTATTCAACGGGGATTTCTGGATTTATGTAATTTGTCTTTGTATTGATATACCATTGAAAATTATGGTGTTAAAATAAAAATCAATCTTATCCATGACGCACCTGTGCAAGTGTGGCAACTGGATATCTCAAACAACAAAGGAATAGCAAATAAAGAGAGAGATGATGATTCGGACTACCATAATTTGGTAAAATCTGATGCGAGGAATAGGAACTTAATTAATTTGAAACAATGGATACCTGAATTTTTCGATGTTACAGCGTAAGCAATCCGTCATACATGAATCTACGGGTGACAGATCAAATGCTTCATTAGATCTTGTTTTCTATTTTGCTCCCATAAAGATTTTCATGTCTTTCTTCTTAAAATCGAATAAAATTTCACAAGTTAGAGGATTTTTGCATTGAATATCTCAAGAATGATTCGACCAATCGAACTAAAATTTTAATAAATGCATATACCGATGAGTTATAAATCCGTAAACATTTGGCTGAATTTGTTTTGTCATTTATATTCTATGGGTTCGCTCATAGACGAAAAATCATGATGTCGAACAACTCTGGATTAGCCAGTGACAGATGTCTGAAATTTTTCAAACAGGTAGAAATTAAAGTTTTATTTTCAATGTAAAGTTTTCATTCGAACTTATCTATACACCATTCAATTGTTTTAGAGGTACTACTCATAATTTGAGAGCCTAAGATTCAGTCAAGAATATGATATGAAACTTGGTTTGGGATCTGGATGAACGATTCACAAAAAAAAAATCATCCTTCGGAAGGCTCAATACGATGCTTAACTCGCTAGGTAAGATCATATTTAAGAGACTGAAATTTCACACATATGAGAATACGAAAGATAAAATTTGATCAATCATTATCACACTTTTGGCTGTAGATTCTCACTTAATATACTAAAAATTGCCTAACAATATCTTACTCTGTATTTTTCCATGTTTCGATCGTTGTCCAGATGCATTATTCCTATATGATACTATGAAAAACGTCAATAATTCTGAGAGAACACTATTTTACATAAGTGAAGTTTCAGCATTGTTGACTCGAATGATCTGAGTATGTGACGACTATCGATCTACTGGTTGTTTCATTCGCTTTATTTGGAGAACATCCAGCATAAAGTTAATGAAAATGATAAACAATGAAGAATATGTGGAAAACATAATATTTGTCTGCAATAACTATAAGAGATAGATGTGTTCTCATTACAATTACTCTCTCAGTAGTGGTCAAGTGCAGAAGAAAAATAGACTTCTATCATGATTAAAAATCTTGAATGTTGCTGTGAAATATAGCTGCAACTCGATCATTGAAATGAAATCAGAGGTCGACACTTGTGACTGGAGAGGAGTAGAACTAGAAAACTTAAACGCCTGGTATATAAAATGGTATTCTCTTACAATTATTGACGTTTTTCATAGCGCAATATGTGAATAATGCATCTGTGCAATGAGAGCAACATTGAAATACGATATCTTTAATGAGGGAAGACAAAGATCTACTTGATTATCCATCAACGATGTTCATGTAACATCAGATAAAATGTGATGAAACTTGTTGATAAAACCAATTCTAAGATATGCAATCGATATTGCTGCTTTAGGATAATAATTTAGAACAATTGTGGATGAAAAGAAAAACTTTTTTTAAAATTTTGTTAATTCAATGAATTAATTACACACACTTTTTCCCATAACTAGAGCATATCGAAGTGTACTACAACGAAGTTTTGTGTGCAATATATTTAAAAGAAAAACACAATGTATCTTTTTTTTGTTTGAAAAAAAAACACTTATCAATAATAAATGACGACGGTTGATATGCACTACACCCAGTTTTACTCTTTTTTTTGATCATATAATCAAAGAAAGACTAAAAAGTCAAAGAAAAAAAGTAAAGCGTTCAAAACAAGGAAATAAGTTAGATCCACTATTTTTTTTCTTTAAAAATTACTCTAATTGTCTTACAAATACAATGTGTATCAAGAGCAAAAAATCTTTCATACATTTTATTTCTGCTTGGTATGCATGACATTAGACACATTATCTCCTACCACTGTGTCCTCACATGATTTATCAAATTAAATTTCATTTTTACCTGTTACTATTTATCTGTTTGTTTTTATATCTTACATTCGATAAGAGTTATAAAACTATTTAATCAAGATAAACATACATATAACAAAATTTGAGTACAAAAACATTGACATTTATGATTATAGATTTAAAAAGTGTTGAATACAATTTTAAAAAAGAAAGCAGTAAATAATCGTATCAAAATTTGACGAGAATACTTATGCAAGGAAAAATATTCATTGTAATTAGTTTACTGTTTGCTTATGGTATTCATTACTATTGGTTATTATTGCTCATAAGTAATGGATATGGAGCTAAATATATGTGTTCATCAATATTTATAGCTGGTCATAGTGAACAACAACAACGTACCGAAGATCTTGATATGTTTCCTATGAAATATGCAACGTTTACTGTAAATAACACTGATTTATCAGTAAGTGCTTCGCTATTTGGATTCGCTCAACGTAAAGCTATTTATCGCCACGGACTCGGTGTAACACTGATTAGTGAATTAACAGAAGACCAAATTCATGCGCAAACATTCAATATATCTATACCACCTGATATAAACCAAGATAATATACCATGGCCTATGGGTAATAAAATAGATGATGACAATTTTCCATCAAATATCAATCAAACACTATTGAAAGATGCAATAAACAGCTTGTTTATTGAAAGAGATCCAACTAAACTTATACGTACACGAGCTATAGTAGTTTTATATGATGGCAAATTGATTGCAGAACAATATGCTCCTGGGTTTTCAAAAATTTCAAAATTTTTAGGTTGGAGCATGACAAAAAGTGTCATTAATGCACTTGTTGGCATTTTGGTGGATGATATAAAATTAAATATCGATGAGCCTGCTCCAGTACTTGAATGGAATAATACCAATGATCCTCGTCATTCGATAACAATAAAAAATTTATTACAACAAACTAGTGGTTTGAATTTTGAAGAAAATTATTATTCGAAAAGCGATGTGACACAGATGTTATTTCATACAAGCGATATGGGTACATTTGCTGCTTCACATCCATTAAAAAATAAGCCAGGTACTGAATGCTATTACAATAGTGGTAACACAAATATATTATCACGTATTATCCGTCATACAGTTGGTGAAAGTGAATATCATTCGTTTCCATACCAAAAATTATTTTATAAGCTTGGTATGAATAGTTTTATTATGGAAGTTGATGCATCAGGCACTTTTGTTGGTTCGTCATATTCATGGGGTACTGCTCGTGATTGGGCACGATTTGGTTTATTATATTTAAATAATGGATTGTATAATAATGAACGGATATTATCTGAAAATTGAATTAAACAAATAACTACACTAGCTGGTTCTAATCAATATGGTGAATATGGATTTCATTTTTGGTTAAACACAGGTAAAACTAATGATTCGACAACACGACGATTTCCAAACGTACCTACAGATATGTTTTATGCAAGTGGTTTTGATGGACAATCTATATTTATAATTCCATCTAAGAAATTAGTAGTTGTTCGTCTTGGTTTAACAAAATCACCCGATGGAGAATATGGAGCAAATGAATTTTTAAAAAATATTATTAGTTCAATTCAATAAAAATATTATATTCAATGGATTCCTCATGCTTGGAGTTCAAAGTCTAATGAAACCTATTTGATTTTTTGCTTTTTTTGAGAAACAAGATCTGAAAGGAGTGCTAAAGTGTAGAGAGAAAGAAATTTGGACCCATCCCTCGCTCCTTTCATCACAGATCATGACACACGTTTTCGATACACTATTAGCAATCACACATCCTTAAAATCTTATGAGAATATTTAAATTATTTTTCTATATTAGTTCTAGTGGATTAAATAAAAGATGGTGAAAAAAGGGTCCGAAGATCGGTCGAATAAACCAAGACCTACATAATTATTAAGAACAACTGTATCATGTTTCACATTTTAATCCCGCAGGTATTGTACTTACAGCTTTTGGTTTATGACACATTATTATATCGTGTTAGTCTTAATAATATATAAATGCATATAGGAAATACATACGACTTCTGAAAAGAATAACTTTACTAAAAGCTGAATATCGAATTGAAAAAAAATAAGTATCTGCTTATTCTTTTCTCTTTGCGATATTGTCAATAATCTTGATTGAAGATACCGTCGGCATGAATAATCATAAAATATTCACAGATAGTTCATTGATATGAATGGCAGATTTTTATTCAATAACAAATACACTTACTCGAAATATTTCGAACAGCAGTAGAACATTGAGAATCGATTAATACTATAATAAGAGTTTTGATAAGTGTGGAGAAATTCCTATATTGTATAGCACATGCATTGAACAGAAATATTGATTGAAGACGATCTATCTGACACAGATCTTTTTTTTGACAAATCATATCAACAAAAAATGAACATTAACAATCTGGTTAATTGTATTCTGACAATATTTGATATCATTCAAGTAAGGCAATGGACATGATCAATTCGAAAAAGTTTGATCAAAATTGAATATATAGAACAACAATATTCTTGTTAACAGTCGAATGTCTAAGTGATACGATGTTAAATTTAGGAGTGAAATCTTCCTTGTCTTTTGTCAGAGTGAATGAATATTACCTTAAAAACCTTTTCATCAGAGAATATATCATTCTCATTCTGGTCAATCAAACAAACATTCAAAGGCTTTTTGAATATGAGTGAATAATTTTGATATCCACATCATTACTAGTCTAGAAGCTCAACGAATCTGTTCGAATTAACTGCATCAGCAGCTATCTTGATCTTTGTGAGCTCGAATTATGTTAACAGATTTTGTCGGAGTGTGATTTATTTTGACAGAAATATATGAAAAAATAAATTTCATGAGTGAAAAACTTTATTTGCACATTATGTGCACTCATAAACCATTGATTCGAAGTTATCTAACATTCGAATGCAGTCTCCCAAACAATTTACAGAGACTTTCCAAAGACCTTTTAAATAAGTCATAAGTATATCAATAGAATTCTTCGCATATTTCAACCTATATTAAGCTATTTTCATAAGATTTTAATTGAAAAAGAGGAAAGCTAATTGAAAATGATCCAACTGTTTATCTTGTGACTTCAACAAAAGTCATTTCACTCAGCAGTGGTAAGAAATTTACAAAAAAGCTGTTCATACTTATGAAATTGGTCAGTCAGTCGATCCGATAGTATATAAATCAAAGGTATAATCGTTCGCAAAAAACGTGATAAGTTCACTAAATATATCATCCTAATTTATCACTCACAGACTGATACTTCCATGGCAGACAACTATTTGTTTTGAAAACAATTCGAACATCTTTCTTGATGTGAATTTTGGATGTCAATTCAGAAAAATATATTTTGAACATTAAATCTTCTATTAAGGCTTGAAAAAATTAATTTTACGATACAGGACAGTGTTTTTGATCTGTGCGATCCTTTTGAGTATTTTCAATGTTTTTACATGAAGCAAATATTTTACAGATAAAAAAGATGATATCCGTGGTCATCAAGTTCCAAACTATGTAACTACCTATAATGCATTCTAAAATATTTTATCTTAAGTTTATATTACATACATCTTTACGTTTACGGCACTGTTTCGTATTTCCTCTATGAGTAGCCACACACGACCAACGTTGTCATTGATTCATTTGTATACTACTTTTTTTTTGTATGGTAGAAAAGAAAGAAATGCGTCACACTTCAAGTCAGTCGTAAGTCAATAGGTACCATAATAATGCTTTTGTTTTAGCTTACCATTCAAATATCTCCAAAGAAACTGTGAAAAAGATTAGAATATTGAGTGAAATAGTATCATATTGAGGTTTTGAACTACTGAGAAGTTTCACTACAACTGATTGTGTCTTCCGGAATTGAAATTGACAAGAGAACGTGCTAAAGAGCACGAAAACGAAATTCATATTTCTTGTGTAGGCGTGCATGTGTATATGTAAATTTGTTTGCATATTCTCCTCTCTATTCGTTTCTTTTTCTTTCTGTCTCGTCACTCCTTATTTCAAATGAATTATACATTACATCATTTGCTACAAACTTCGATCATTTCTTCTCTTCGTTGGTGAGATTTCTTAAAATTTTCACATTTTCTCTTGTTCTAACTTTTCGTCTCTCATTTCGTATTTGACGAAGAAGATACACAATGTTATCTTGTTTGTTTGATACTAACTTAACTGTTGTAGTAGGAAAGTGTAACCAAGTTACTCTCCTTCTTCTCTTTGTCTTCACTTTCTTCTCTGGATGTTTTTTCTTTTCGTTCTTTTGTTTGTGTAGTTGTATGTTTTTCAGCACTGTATAAAAAAGATTTCTTCATTCCTAAGAGTCATTGCACAATAGAGGCATATAATCCTATTTGATGAATGTCAGCAAATTAAATTAAATTTTGTCTATGTGTAGGGGAAGGTGAGTTGTGCAAACAATAACAATAACTATAAGTTCAAAAACCGTTCCCTTTGTTCAGATATTCAATCTACAACAGAGACTTCCTGATGTATAAAACGTAGAAGACTATTGTAGTACCCCTATTTTGTATATTTCACAATTGTTCAACAATTATATTTTTAATCATGAAATTTTGTGAGTATATACTGTCATAGATATTCTATCAATTGCCACACTCAGAACAACGTTTCAGTGTGTTAACAAATATAAAAGGAGTTCATAGTTCTTAGATGTAACTTCTACTTCGCGATCAAGAATTCTATCTCTAGTGAGTAATCTATGAGTTCTTGCTTAGGAGCGAAATACTAGTGTTCCTCTTGCATCATCCATCCTGCTTTTCCCACAGTTAATTGCAGCAATTTTCAGAACATTGGCTTTTTTGTGTTTAACCAAAACAAAAGCATTTTTTGGCATATATATATATAGGAACTATTATAGTTTCTATATCAATCCTTTAGATTGATTCGAACATAAGTCTTTACTGATCTAGGTAACTCACTACAGAGAAGGATATATGTGATAAGACGTCATGCGCAACGGATGTGGATCTAGGCTTTTGTTTCATGTCGACATCAACAAATGTGAATGGATCATCATAACTCTCGAGAATGAACGATGCCCATGTTTCTAAGGTCATCAAGATACATAATAGCACGTTGAGATCAGTTGTAGATTTAATAGATGTGTATAGCAGACTTATTTGCGAGTTAAATTGATGGTTAGAACAATAATAGTAGTTTAAGAAAAAAGAAAAAAAAGAAATAGATAAAGAGTGAATAGCTTCAATACGAATAAAAAAAACTTTGTCAGTGCGGTCTCCTCCGAAGCCAATGTGTGAAACTCAACAACTATGGCTGTCCTAGGGAGATGTCTATAATAGGGAGTCCGTTGCTAGGAGTCTGCAATGGAAGCCTGGGAGGAAGAAGAAGGAGCCGCAAAACTTCGACTTAAAACTTCCACTCACTTTTTTCTTCGAAAATATATGTGAGTTCCACAAAATAGAGCGCAGATAAAACTTGAAGAAAAAAATCTATTCTAAAGATAGAAATCAATAAAACAGTTCATTTGCCTTGCGGTTTAATTATTCTCGACAAGAAACTATTAATCTGTTAGAGATTTGCATGTAGTCTATTTTATATATGCATAATGAAGACGAGAAGAGACATTTGAATATCACAGGTGAGTTTCAAAGGGGCTGCACTCACAAGCTTTTTTTACTCTTTTTCTTGAAATCTGTCGTGATTGCGCTTTGACATCAAATCAGTTCAATGTTCATGTGTATGATTGTGAACAATCTCATTGAAAAGTGTTGATTTGATGTGATTTTGCATTTGCTTACATGTATATGTAGTCAGATGTTTTTTCATTTTTCTGAATAAAAAATTTCATCACGAAAACAATATTATGATTTTTTACTAAGTCAAACTTAAATATTCCTAATTATTCAACAGTATAATATTCATTTGTTATGATTTGCTGTTTCATAAGCAAGACACTTGATAATGACTTTCAGTAAGTTTTCATTATTTCTATAAGGTGTTTTTACAGTTATTTTTCTTGTGGAAAAACACTACATAATCGATCTTGACTCTAGAAGAGATAACTAAAATCGATTGAGCTGCAGCAAACTTTAATTTATATTTTGTCGAAATTAGATGTACTATAGGAAAATAGTTTACGTGCTAACTTTTACCAATTAATTAAAACAAAACATATGCCTGTAGTCCTCCAACACGATAATAGACGTAGGTGTTGAAAAATAACTTCTGATGGTAAGATGAGAAAGAATAATAATAAGTTTATTGTTTTTGTATGGTTACTATTGACATTTGCTTTTTTTAGACGACTATTGCAATATCGGTTATTTCTTATATTGTCAGTGCAAGATTTATTGTGAACCACATGAAATATCATCATTGATATTATCGAAGAATGATTGTAAAGCAGTCAGAGCAGGAGATGAGAGCATAGTCTTCTAATAACAATATATTTTAGGTACGTGTGCTAAGCAATTCAAAGATTCGGCAACGATTCTTTCGTCGTGGATATTCTGTTCTTTTTATCACCATTCCTATGATCACCTTTCTAGCGTTCATTGGTCAACCCAAATTTATTTTTCAACCTCATC